AAATCACAAAACGAAATCAGGAGAAGATAAAATAATTTTAAATTAAAAGAAATATAAAAATAAATAATATTAAAATAAAATACACGTTCACGCCGGGGTGACCGACCGGTGGGTCACGCTAGATTGTCTCATCGGGCGATACAATAACAAAAACAGGCAATACAATACATGCAATAACAAAGTAGTAGCATTAATATAAGTATGTTTAATGTAAAAGAATTGTTCTGCTTTCATTTTAATCTTAACGTAATTTATCCGCATTTTTTTTTTTTTAATTTTATTCTTGCACGATTTTTATTTTCAAATTAAGCAGTGGTAAATAAAATAAAGCGAAGTATTATCAGTCCCGCCTTCTAATATATGGGTTATAAAGTAGTAAGGAGACTATTTTTTTTCTTACACTGATGATTTTCTGAAGATATCGCCTGCCTAGTTTTTTTTACTATGATTAATAAAGTAAAAATATTTTAATCTCTTTATTCATTATTACCCTTCCCGGCGACTTTACGTTATCATAAAAAATTTCTGTTTTTTTTTTTTTTTTTTTTTTTTTTTTTTTTTTTTTTTTTTTTTTTTTTTTTNTTTTTTTTTTTTTTTTTAGAAGTAGTAGTAGTCAGATCAGAGAGATTAACTGTATTAAGCGTCACTTGGCGTGATGATATTGCTCGCTGCCAACTCATGATAGTCAAAATTTACTACACTATCAAGAAGTTTTAAATAATTACCAAATATAAGAATATAATACTTTATATCAACATTAATAAATTTGTTACTTAAAGCAGATATGCCGCAGGCGGCAAAAATCTCAAAATTGGTAGAAACTCACTTCACTTTTATGTCCTTAATTATTCAAACGTAACTACCACTGTGACTTTTATTTTAAATTATTGACATGTAAAGTTTTAATTGTTCTACTGAAGTGCTTGTGTTTAAAATAATAAAATGAATCGGTTAGAGGCGCTTTGTGCCAAATACCGAGTTTTTAATCAGATCCAGCACTAGTACTACAATAGGGCTTCCATGGTCTAGCGGTATCGCCCGCCAAACACTGTGCAAAGCGTGAAGCTATCAGGTTCGAATCCGGCTGTTGCCCTTCTATTGACAAAGGTTTATGAGTCTAAAGTTAAGCACACAAGCCTGCAAATATATATAATTCCAATAAACCAATACAACTGTAATAAAAGCATTATTTGAGATCATTTTCATTTACTAATTGATAAAAGATGCTAAAGCATTTTCAAATCTATATATATATTTCTCTTACACGGCGATAAAAAAAAGCCTCATTACAACTCCTCGAATGGCAATGTAGAAAATCGACCAATGATTGCCACTAAAAATGTCACATGCCGAATCTAGCTAAGATGGCTCAACATATAGCGCTTTTAAAAACGGAAACTGAAATAACCAGGGAGAGCATAAGCTAGGCAGAAGTCTTTGTCGATAGATCTCTATTTTAGTTTTTTGTCGAAAGCGCTTTTTTTCACGAATTTATTTGACAGTTTTTGATTTATATCACCAATTTATTTATTTTACTAGAATTTATTTGCTTATGCAGGTTTTTCCATTGCAATTCACTTATTTCAATTCTTAATAGACTTAATTATAGCCAAAATTTTAACCTTTTTAAAGAGATATCAATTTTAGAAATTTCATCTTACGATTTTATACTATAGCACATTTCTAATAGATTTAACGAATTACATGTCATTTATTTGAATTCAAATTTATTTTAAGGACTCAGTATTTACTAAAAAGATATAGTTTTTTTTTAAAAAAAAAAGTTGTTATATGGATTTGAATGATTGTTTTGAATACTTATAATTTTCTGCATTTTCAATGTACCTAAGTTAGTAGCGAGCGAAGTGAGCTTGGTTTGCGAAGCAAACCATATAAGATTGCGTAGCAATTTTTGGGGGTTGGCGAGCGTTAGTGAGCAGGGGGCGTAGCCCACTAGTGTTAATAAAATGTTGAATTTTCATCAGACTTTTTTTTAAAAAAAGGAAAAACATAGCTTTTTAAAGGATAGGGTATTTTTTTATTTCTGTTGAATAAACGCATCATTGTCGTCAATTAGAATGGCGTTTTTTTTTACGATTCCTCTAAATGCATGTTCCATAGATTTTATTTTTCTACACATAGCTTATTTCAATATGCATATATTACCTAAATTAATTTTGAATCAATTTTTTACCTTTCTCCTAAGCGAATCATTTCATAACTAATTTTTTTCTTCTTCATTTTAATTACCGTTGATTTAAAACTATTTACTTTTATATAGAAACACGTTTTAAAAGAATACTATAAACGAAGTAAACACGTGGTGTCAGATAACTTATGAAACATTAATTTGGTGACGCAGTCCACGAATGCCACCATGTTGCAACGTAAACAAAGTACCAATCTACCAACTAAAAATAAATAAATGAAATTGTAAAAAGTCTATTTTCTTTCATCTTTTTTTATATTTTAAACGAACCAACCAGGTTACTTGTTCTTAACTTTTGATGAGGAATCGGTTTTAGTCTGGAAATTGTACTTTATTATCAGAGATGCCAACTTGCTCCGGACAGCAAATATATAATTTAAAGTGGTAGTTTATCAATTGTGATTCTCGGTTTAATAAATTCAATTTAGTAGATTTTTATCCACCACTATTCTTAAATAATTCGTAGGCTTATTTAATTGACGATTTTGTGATACAAATGCATGCTGTGCCTTTTAAAAAGTAAGTAAAAATATTCAAATATTTGCAAAATTTACTTTGTACTTAATTACCGTTTTTTAAAAATTATTTTGGCGTGTCCGGAGCAATTGGCATCTCTGTTTGTTATTGCCAAAGTATCGAGACCAGTTTTTCTTGGGAGTTTCTTTACCACTAGCAGTATTCATGTAACCGTTGGAATTTATATGAATAATGTAAGAAGTTTGTTGAATTTTTGCTACTTAAATATGATTAAACCGAAAATAATCTGCAAAGGTACATTCCTTCTCCAATTTGTTGACATAGCATTGTAAGTTATAAAATCCTTTCAATTTTTAAATAAAATTAATAATTAAAAAATCTGGTTCTACACAGCTCTTTCATATCTAGATTGAGTCCAAAACTTCTACACATCATTAAGAAAAATATTGCGTTTGAAAATCTTTTCACACAAAGGGAAAAAGTAGTTCAAAAATAAAATTTCAGGGTGCCCACGACCTGTAAAAATAAATGAGTGGTTGCTAAGATTTTTAAAGACGATTGAAAAATGCTTAAATTTATTTTCCATTCGTGAATTACAAAATTATTCACAAATCATTTTCTAGTATTAATTATTGTTCTATTGTTACTTAATTCTATTATTAATTAATTTTATTATTAATTAATTTCATTATTAATTAATTATATTATTATCAATTATATTATCAAAATTATATGATTATTATCAAAATTTCAGGGTGCCCACGACCTGTAAAAATAAATGAGTGGTAGCTAAGATTTTTCAAGATTACTGAAAAATGCTTCAATTTATTTTTCACTTGTGAATTACAAAATTATTAATTATTATTCTATTATTACTTAATTATATTATTAATTAACTTTGTTATTAATTAATTATATTATTATTATTATTATTAATTATTCACAAGTTATTCACTCATATACATTTCCTTTGAGGTCGATATTTATTGATAGCTTAAAACATCTATGTGTGCATACTGGTCAGTGTAGGGGTGAGGAAACTGGCCTTGCATCAGAAAGGTTCTGGGTTCGAATTCGGGCAAGGCAGGGATGTTCTTTCATTCTTTGTACTATCTGTCCTTACAGTGGGAGCAACGTTGGCCTACCTAATGTGGTGCCCCTGATAGAGTGGCCGACAAATCTGCCCTTCAGATGCCTGTATTGACGAAAGGTCATTCTCCAGGTGAGGATTGAAAGAAAAAAAATCTAGATATATATCACTTTTGCTACCAGCCTGGATTTTCAAAAGAAGCGAAGAAAAAAATTTATTTTTGCAACGATGCTTTTATATTGTCAATCTTGTTGTGTTAATCAAAAGTATCGACAAATACAATAATTGCAGTCAGGTTGCTTACTATCTGGGAAGGAGGAAAAATCTGGTAGTAAAACTATTTTATATATAACTGGTTCTCGGTAGGAGTAACACGAACTCTAACGGTTCTTGATTATTAACTATTCATCACTATTTACTTTTTCCAAGTTAGTAACAGACCCATATAGATGTTATAATTGTTAAAAAAAAATTTTGATTGTTCTAATCTATTCTAATATTTCCGAAAACTAGCTAAATTGAAATGATAATTACCAGTTTTTGCTCTTTTCCAATAGCAAACATATTTCATTTTGTTTCGGTTAATATAAACTTTCAATCTTGTAAATATAGCTTATTGCCAAAGAAGCCAACTTTGCTCTGGATTGCGGATCAATATTTTCTAGCAATAATTATTTAATGTAAAAGTCTTGGTTTAGTGAATTCAATTCTTATGACTTTTAGCCACCACTAAAATTTCTAAATAATTCAAAGATTCATTTGCTATGCCACTTTGTTACAGTAATGCCGTGTTGGAAGAGAGAAGGCCTCAGCACAGGTTACAATACTATAACTATATACATTACTATAAACAAGAAATTTGATCCTTTAGTAGTCCAAACGTAATGAAATCTTTCGTACTTCTCCCACTGCGCAGCTTAGTGGCTAGAACGTAGTAACATTTTTCTTTTTCTGCCTGCAATGCGCAGTTTATGTCCGTTACGTCGGACTACTAAATTAATCCGTGCTGAGGCCTTCTGTGTTAGTTGAGGTGCATGGCAAATTTTAGTTTATAGTTCGCTGCCGTTTTTAAAAATATTTTGTGGAATTCGTATTATTTGGCATCTCTGCACTGACTTGCACCATTTATTTCTTCTTTTCTTAACGAAGGGTGGAAAATTTGAAACAGAAAAAAAAAATGAGTTTGAAACAAAAGTGTTTGGATAAATAAACCAAAGCATGAACTAATGAAAACAATATTTAGTAATATTTGAACAAATATTTGTTTCAATCCTCTTTCGTTATGAAGTAATGTAGTCAGTATAACCTGTCGTTTCTCGCCTCGGTATAATGAGTGTACTGTCTGCGTGACTTGTTTCAGATATGCTGAGAGCGCAACCCTAGAATAAAACATAACAAGTTCTAATTATTTTAGTAACAGATAGTTAAAAAAATATTATGAAATGAAAGAAATAGTGGTGAGATTTCCTTATCGTGATCTGTAGCGCCAAGGTGTGAAATAGATTTTAGACTTGCAATTTTTTATTTTTTATAAAAAAGCATGTTGATGTTTAGCCGAGGGTGGCTGCGGGTTTTAACCTTTTGAATTGGTCCCCTTCTGTGATGTTTTTTTTTTTCTTTCTCTCGGGACGTTGCCCGGTAGTTGCCAAGACTTGGCGGTTATTCTGCCACAGATCACGATACGGAAATCTCCGAGGAGATGTTTGCTATTTATTATTTTGAATAATAATTATAAAAATTTCATATTTTTCAATTCCAATTTTAGTATCTTATTGAAATTGAATAAAAAAATGCACTAAATATTTAAAATTGAGGAAATATATATGGTTGTCAACAAATTAATTTTTAAAAACGTTCGCAAAATTTTCATAGCACCGAATCACTTTTCTTTTTTTTTTAAATAGGAGAGATATGTAACTTTTCAACGAAATATACAGAAAGGTAAAAAAATGAGCATAAGTCAAAAAAAAAAAAAAAAAAGCTCTAAAAATTGACATCATCAACCCTACAAATTTCCTTCTTTAACGACCTAATACTTATTAACACGTTCACTCCGGGTAGAGGGGTTAATCTATTCTCAACAATAACAATTCACTGTAAGGAAATTTATCACGGCGAAGAAGCAATTCTATATAAAAATTGCATCCGTTAAAAACAATTGGTAGTTATGGATTTTTATTATTCCCGGAAAAAAAACTAAAAAATGAAATTTAATTGTTACCAGTTTTTGATCCGGTGCGCCGCCCGATGAGACAATTTAGCGTGACCCACCGGTGGGTCACCCCGGCGTGAACGTGTTAATTTATTATGAATTTTTTTAAAAACACAAAAAAAAGTTATTTATAGTTTGGCAGTATTATACTAGTGTATATTTGGCAGTATTATATAGTACAATATTATACTTAACTTTAAAAAAAAATACTGTACTTAAAAAATTTTCTAATATTAAATAGATGATACTGACATCATCATTAAAACTTATTCCCGCACCAGATGCCATTTACGGCCCTTTTTTATATACAGGTGATAAAAAATGTAAAAAGAGGTAGAAACTCAATTAATTTTTATTTATTTACAGTTTCTTTGATTATTCAATTTTAACTACCACTATAACTTACTTTTAAAATTATTCATATTTAAAACAATAACCCATGGAAACCATCTAAAAGTTAAAGAATAAAAGCAGATTTGAAAAGGGACTCAGGTGCCCAGATATATAATAGAGTTCAAGATTACAATTTGTTTACTATAAGTTGCATTTTATAATATCTTTTAATAAAATGTTGAGTTTCGTAAGTCACCACTTTTTAAAGTTTTAGTTGCCTGTGGCTGAAAATGTTTACTTCAAAGTGATACTTTCTGGTTACTGGAATGCAATTTGAAGTAAAAAGAAAAGATAAGTGTTTTGTATTCTAGATAAAGATGCATCGCTGCAAAATTAAGCAGCCATTGGCCTGAGCAGCTAGCTGATTATGACACTTTAGAACATTGAAAATTAAAAAAATCTTGGCGTGTTGGCGCGAAGCACCATTGACCGATTAATCAAGTCTTTGGATCTTATGGATGGTATACCGCGTTATGCACAGATGGCGCTAGGGGTTAAAATTCGTCGTAAGACTTCCGGATTATTACTTCCGTTTGATTTTTACGTCTAAACTTGAAAAATCGAGTATTATTATGCTAACAATGTTAACAATAAAATGCATTCTTCCTATTTAAATTTTCACGGAACAAACAGCTAATGAATTTGGAAAACTACGCCTGCATGCTATGATGCACCGCCTTCTATAACTGAAAGCCTCCACACGGTTTTGTGTAGGAAGTCCGATTAGTCCACTATGAGGGTAAAGCAATTAATAAGAGCACAATTTAATATCAAATCTATTAAAAATTGGAGAGTGGTAGAAAATATATGTCTAAAAATTTGTTTAATTTATGAATATAATTGGTTTGTTTTATTTACTTGTCAACCACTACAGATTCAATTCTCAAATATATATGATAAATTTCTCTCAAGAACTTTTACAATAGAATTTGGGTTCATGGGCACAAGTGGTTCGCTTTTTAAATAATCTGCGCAGACTACTTAGAAGAAACCGTGTGGAAGCTTTCTGATGTAGGAAGGTGAAGTATTGGGCTGAAAGCCCATATATATCAAGACGGAAAAGAGTAAAAACTGGTAAGATATAAATTTAATTTTTTACCTTTTTTTCGGGAATAATAATATTCAATAACTACCAATTGTTTTTAACGCATACAATTTTTATCTTGAATTGCTTCCTCGCGAGGGAAAAATTAATTATAGTGATTAGCATACTTGGCAACATTCACTCCTTTTGAGAATGGATTTTCCAAGTGATAGTAAAATAATAACGAAATAACTATCTTCCTCAAAAATTTATTTATATTTTAATCAGGTTGAATTTCGCAGCGAAAGGAATAATATGCTTTTATATCTTTGTTGTAATTATTTATACGTAGTGGTGGTCAAACTGATTTAAAATTATTATCATACTAATTCGAAAAGTTTAGTGAAATAACATGAATTTCGCTAGCACTTAAAATATGAAAATAAAATCTTCCAAGAAAACCGGAAGGGTTGGCAGCTATGGAATTGTTTATTGTTAAGAATAGATTAACTCCTCTCGAATATTATCTAATATTGAAATAGTTCTCCTACCAGTATTTTCTCTTTTCCGTCCCGCTTTCAGGCCTGGTGATGTATGATGCAACCCAGAAAATATCAAATGGTGATATTTTACACAAATATAGCCAAATGAGAGATAACACTCAAAACATGGCAAACCTTACACTTTATTTATGTTTTGATATTAATTTTCTTTAATTTGTTTCACGTTCACAATCCATTAGAATTTGTAAATTACAAGAATCTCTTATGAATGGTAAAATTGCGCGTAAATTTTATCACAAATTACAATAATAAAACTTCCTAGAGAATTAAGCCTGTTCACACATCGCCTCGTAAGCATAACATAAGCAGATGAATACACCGGAAGTTTTCTAAACGTCTTCCGGTTTTAGGAAGCTTGTTATTGTTTACATTCAGTCAGTCATTCATATTAACCCTTTCATTACGAACGCCCTACTTAGCATGCGAGACGGCATACGCTCGCATGAATATAAGCGTGGTTAGATATAGCATGAGATTAGTTCGTGTCTTGTTAATTTAATTAGTTATACAATACTTCATAACATTGTTTATGCAAATAAAAATCAGTATGATTTTGAAGCACAGCTTAAGTTTTAAGCTCGAACTATTTTTGGCATTTTTTAAAAATTTTCCGTACTTGTGGTAGAAAAACTTTTTCCCCTATTCTTTTTTTATAATTTAACACGTTCACGAAGGGGTGACCCACCGGTGGGTCACGCTAGATTGTCTCATCGGGCGGCGCACCGGAGAAAAAACTGGTAACAAATAAATTTCATTTTTTAGTTTTTTTCTGGGAATAATAAAAATCCATAACTACCAATTGTTTTTAACGGATGCAATTTTTATATTGAATTACTTCTTCGCCGTGATAAATTTCCTTACAGAGAATTGTTATTGTTGAGAATAGATTAACTCCTCCCGAATATTATCTAATATTGAAATAGTTCTTCTAACAGTATTTTCTCTTTTCCCGTACCAGTATTTTCACTTTTCCCGGCGTGAACGTGTTAAAAACGATGGTTTTTTTCTTCCAGGCACTAAAATTTTAATAATACTATGTATTCATTTTCTGTTTATTTTTTATTTGTTTAAAAAAAAATTAAACAGTTAATAATGTTAACTGTTTAATTTTGTTTATAAATAATGTTTATATTTTCTTTTTTATAAGCTACTGCTTGGTAATTTATTTCATTTTCACTAATTTCCTTTTAGTTTTTTTTTCTCTATTTATTAATAAACCAATGCTAAAAAATTTATTAGTTGTAATATCTATTATGACTGAAACCGAAATCAGTAATTTTAAAAATTGATGGACTTCAAGCATTTCAATAACTATAGTTGTTTTTATAAACACTCTAAAACTTTTTATAAATCTTAATATAATTGCTTTCCTATTGAAATAATATTCCGACATATTCATACATTCACATAAAACATAAAAGCATTACATTTATACATTCACATAAAATATATAAACGTTAAATTCATACATTAACATAAAATATATTTTTATATAGATCAATGACTGATCTCCCTATTTAATTTGAATCGAACTTCAACCATTTTCTGTTATTAGTTTATTTAAACGTATTCAGTTGAGTAATTCTTACGAAAATTCATCTCCCTTTGTAATCCAAATTTTAATTAAGTCAATAATTGTCTTTCAAATTCAAAATTAATTCGCCAATCCCAGCCACAGATAGAGCACACATTGCCATTTGGCATCATTATAATATGCTAATTTTTAAAGTTAATGACAAACTCAAAACTTTTTGATGTGTAAAAAGAGCATTTTCCAATTTCGCACAAAAAGTCTCTATTGTAATTTTGAGTGATAGACATCTCAATATCTTGCCTACTAAAAATTAAAACGAAAGGAAGCCACTTTTGTTAATTTTTATTCATTTTTTACTAGAATAAAATTATCTTGTTATTTCCATAAATATTGTTAATTCTACATTACGATATTTAATAAACTTATCGAACCTAATACCACAGTTTCATCGAGCATAATTGTTGCCTGACTTTAGATACCCTGTGAAATTGGCCAAGTCAGATTGCTAATTTACATTCCAGCAGCATTTAACGACTTGATCTATTTTTTTTTTTTTTTTTTTTAAGCTTTTCTTTTTGACTATAGTAGATCGCAATTACAATGTAAGCTTTAATTTCATTCAATATTTGTTACCTGAACTAAGAAAAAAGTCGAAAATCATTTTTTTTCTTTATTTAAAACAAATGCCAAACAGTGGTCGTTAAAAGCCGCTGGATTGGAAAATCGCGTTCTAGTTCCCAGTACACATAATTATAGAATTAAAAACCGGATAAGGATGTGGAAGTTCGATTGCCAGCAGCGGGTAACAAAAGTTGGGCAGGGTAGGTTGGACAATTCTCGTGTACTCGGTGCATCATAGTTTAGACTTTTTATAATTGGGAAATTTGAAAGTACAATAAGTAAATAAAAGTGCGATAAGTAAATAAAAGTACAATAAGTAAATAAAAGTAAAATAAGTAAATAAAAGTATTATAAGTAAATAAAAGTACAATAAGTAAATAAAAGTACAATAAGTAAATAAAAGTACTATAAGTAAATAAAAGTACAATAAGTAAATAAAAGTACTACAATAATTTCTTTCTTTTTACCTCCATTATAGGCATCCACACCGCCGCATCAACCGGACTCATTAAATTATCCACACAACCAGTAAGATCTTCCAATACCTTTAAATTATAATAGGAAAAATATCTTTATAAAATGTTTTCAATTAATTATAAAACTAGAATTTCTTTAAAAAATATGTTATTAAAGTGAATGTTCATGAATATTAAAGGATTTTCCTTTACAGGGTTCCCACAGGTCTTTTTAATTTATAATAGTGGTAGTAAATTTCGTAACTGCTAACTCAGGGCTGGTATGCCCCTGAAAAAAAAATTAAAAGAAGTTGCAAATTTCTTAATATCAGCTTCCATTATCGAGATAAAATAATCTGGTATCTACAAATATAATAATATAAAAGAATTATATTAACATTACGACCACTTTTTAATTTTTTTCCAGGAGCTCAAAAATTATGAATTTTTTTTTCCAGGATAAAAAATGAAGTCATAAAAGTATAAATATTACTTTCAGAACTTTGAGCAGCTGAAGTCGTGTTTAAATTATTAATTTGCTGTGTGGTGAAATGAAATTTTTAAAACTGGGATTTTATGCACTAAAACATAAATATTACTAATACTAAGATAATGTTTTGTGAATGTGCTGAATGGAAGCACATTAAACGTGCTTAACACAATTTTGTGTTTCCATAATAGATCAATAAAAGTAAAAATTAATAAAGAAATGGCTTTTTTTCTACCACTTTTATTTAAATATTTTATTTATAAATTTTGTATTGTGCAGTAAAAATTATCTTGTCGAAAGTGTATGCTCTGTAAATTCATATAGACCGAGTTTCTTCGGTCTTTGAAAAGTTTTAGTAGTGGTAGAAGATATTAATATACCACTTTGTGGTTAACTAATTTAGAAGGTCGGCGGCGATCTAGTGTTAGATGACGTACCTAAACCTCTGAATCTGTAATTTGCCCTAGGGTAACTGATATTATTGGCAGAGATGTCAACTGATACGCTCTCTGGAATAGTTTTAATAAAGTGGTAGCAAATTATATAGTAAAATTCGTTAGAAACGGACAGTTACGTCCACTTTTTAATAGAGTAACCAGTAGATTGATGTTTTAACTTTGCATTTTATATGATACTTATTATTTTTGATATTTAGTGGTGAAGAAATTACTTAGAAGGGAAAAAACTAAACTAAAAGTAACTTAAATTTCGCTACCACTAGAAAATACTACTTTACAAAGCGGAGCAAGTTGGCATCTCTGTATTGGCATGGTTTATAAGGTGGAATTTTCATGCTTATATACTTTCTTCGGAAAACAATTTTTAGTGGTGGTTACACAGAAATTCAAATATCGACACTTGTTTTATTTTCATTATAGCTTTTTAAAATTTTCAAAGCCCTCGGGAACCTTGGTAGAAATTTTTTTTTTAAAGTTCAATTGGTTTTTTTAAGAGAAGCTTTTTGTTTCAAAACGTTCTGCTCTAGTTCACTACCACTGAAAAAATAATGCTTGACACAGAGATGTCAACTTAATCCGGACAGCAAATAAGTATTTCAAAGTGGTAGTTTATCAATTGTGATTCTTTGTTTAATATATTCAATTTAGTAGATTTCTATCCACCAATATTTCTAAATAATTCGTAGGCTTATATAATTCACCACTTTTTTGTAGCTATGTCATGTAACACCTTTTAAAAAAGCAAGCAAAAATAGTGAAATATTTGCTAAATTTAGTTTATGGTTACTTACCGTTTTTTTTTTAAATTGTTTTGGCATGTCCGTACACTCTAAAAACTGTACCTCTGATTTCAGAGGCACATTTGAATCATTTGTGCCTCTGAATTTTAAGGGCACAACGTACCTTTAAAAATGAAAGGCACAATGTACCTCTGATTTCAGAGGCACATNTGTCCGGAGCAGTTGGCATCTCTGTATGTACTGATTTTTTTTTAATTATTTCGGCGTGTGCGGAGCAGTTGGCATCTCTGTAATTAATTCCTCATTATACTTAAATATATAATCTCAAGAGACCGAAGTGGTAAGATATAACCTGATTGAAAACTGGCTTACGACACTGTTAACGACAAACCTTGTTAACGACCTTTAGTTCTTCCCTACCTCTCCCCAACGCACGGGAATGCATTTACTTTCTATTACTAGTTCTAGTAGAATGCATTACTAGTTCTGTTTCCAACTTTTATTTTTTTCATTTTTTGCAGGCAACTTTACGTTTTTACTTCAAACAAGTGGGCTGCGCCCCCTGCTCGCTAACGCTCGCCAACCCCCGAAAATTGCTACGCAATCTTATATGGTTTGCTACGCTCGCTACTAACTTAGGTACATTGCAAATGCACAAAATTCTAAGAATTCAAAACAATCATTCAAATCCATATAAAAACTTTTTTTTAAAAAATAATTACATCTTTTTAGTAAATTCTAAGTCATTAAAATAAATTTGAATTCAAATAAATGACATGTAATTCGTTAAACCTATTAGAAACCGTTGCTGTCTAGTCCTGACTTCTCTTGACATTTTGTGAATGTCAGGTAAAATGTTATAAATATAAATATGTAACATTCTATATTTGTATGTGTATAGATTTAGTCATTCTGTCTTGTTTAGAAATGCGGTCTTCCTGGTATTTGCTATACATCTGTGATTGAATGGTGCTGCTCCCTTGTGACCTTAGACTTTTTGCTCAGTTAAAATTTTTATCCTTTACTTGCCTTTTTCTCCTACTCGTTCTTGACTCAGGGGCCTAGTGCCTAAAGTATCTGCATTACTCGGGCCTAATGCATGTTGTTGTTGCTTATCCTCATTGACTGAAAGGAAGTGGAAGACTTAGAGAGTCCCATGCAATCCAAGAGGTCCTCAGGAAAAGCCCATACCTGCCAACTCTTCCGGAAGATTTTATTTTCATATTTAAAGTGGTAGTAAGTATATACTATTTTTCCTTTTATCAACTTAATTTTTAGATGATTTTGATCACCACTATTCTTACAAAAATTAAGCACATATATTAATATGCGTTACTATCATGATTGTTAACTGAAGATTTCTCAAATACAACGTATTAGTTTGCTTATAATTGAAGTTTTAATTCTATTTTAATACCACTGGGAAAAATTATACTGGAAGGGATTAAAAGTTGGCAGGTATGGAAGCCTGATGAATTTGGCACTTGGTGCAGGTTACGAAGGTTTTCCTGCCCTCGTTTAGCAAGCCTTGATAGAACAGTTCGGGTACGTCTGTCACACGGGAGGTCAAGGGACGAACTCGGTTTTGATCCCGTGTACCAATTGTGGGTTGGGGGTGTTTTCCACTCCTCTGAGATTTGTGATTTTTCCAAAGAGTTTACCTCCAAAAAAGTAAGTGTGGACGAGGGAGTTGTTATAATCCTGCAACCCTCCTTAGCGAGAATATCGACCATTTCATTCCCGTGGAGATTCACGTGGGAAGGTAGGCATTGCAAATGAACATCGCGATTAAGTGAAATGAGCTTTAATTTAAGCAGGATAGCCTAATACCTGAAGTATCTGCATTACTCGGTATCTTTCGTTGTTGCGTGTCTGTGCCTTCGTGTACCCTAACTGTGTGGAACAAGGTTTAAAACTTGCAAAAATGTATTCATAAATCTAAGAGCTTAAATGTTGTTGTTGTTAATTTACGTCACACTATAGCTGCACAATGGGCTATTGGCGACGGTCTGGGAAACATCCCGGAGGATGATCCGAAGACATGCCATCACAATTTTGATCCTCTGCGGAGGGGATGGCACCCCCGCTTCGGTAGCCCGACGACCTGCGCGCGAAGTCGAGCACTTTACGGTAGCACAGTTTAACGAGGACCAATACCGCACACCCTCGGTCCCTACGCAGACTGATCCAAGTGGTCACCCACCCGCACACTGACCGCAGCCAGTGATGCTTGACTTCGGTGATCTGCTGGGAACCGTGTCTTAACGATCAGTCCACTGCGGGACAAGAGCTTAAATGAGAGTAAATGCTTTGCTACAACTTTAAAAAAGTTTTTGGCAAACTTCACTGATGCAGACTACGACCTTAACAGGGATGCCACTGGTTTTTTTTAATGGTCTGATAATTAAAAATATAATAACAAATATTTTTTTATGTTAGTATCATTGCACCTTTTTTATTTTTTGAAGTGATACTTCTTATGCGACTTCCAACAAGGTTGCGTTAAACGTTTTTATGTATATTTTTCTAAATNCATTTATTTTATTTTCATTTAAGCAAATTATTATCTTTAAATTCAATTATCTTTAAAGTACAATTTAAACTACTATTAGATAATATTGGTGTAATATTATATATATATATATATATATATATATATATATATAAGTTAAAAATATAGACAAAATGAAGAAAAAGATATAAGGATATTTTAAAGGAGAAGTAAAAAACTATTAAAAATATTTTTAAAAAATATTCATAAATTTAAAAAATTTTTAAAAAAAATGTAAAACAAAATGAAATAAGGAAAATAAATAATCTCGTCATCAGCTCACACGATTATATCCGAAAAAATAGTACTTTCTAACATTGTATTAATATAGCAAAGCAAATATTAATACAGTATTATTATATATCACATATTAGCATATATCACTTAATACAATAACGTGAGGAGCACCAAAACAATGAAACGAAAATAGAGCTTATTAAGCAAAAATTGTAAAATAAAAATAAAACAATCAAACAAAAGTCGAAAATAAAAATTCGAGAAAATACAGAATAAAACTCAAAATGCAATATATAAAGCGAACAGAGAATTCAAATGTACTTTACAGGTATTTTTCAAAAGTGATTTAAAATGCTTTCGTAACAAGTTTGCGGGGTTACAAAATAATATTGTAAATATTCATTAGTGTTTATTTTCCCATTGTACTTTAATTTTACCTTTTTCATGTACATTTTTATTACTTGTAATTTTGTTATTGCCTAATAATGGCAAAGTGCCATTTTTCCTTTCTCAAGAACTCCATTTGCTCCCCAAACTTTAATTTTGTCATGTATGTTTCTTAGTTTAATTTCAGGATGAATGGTCAGACGCCCAGTTCCACTACAACGAACGAACGG